CCAAGGCAAAGATATTAATGAGTTGGGTAGGTTATGCATCTGACCACCAACATTTGATGTAGAAAACTGGAGGACTATGACTAATGCAGGAAATAATACAGGAAATTATGTTATTTAACACTATATTACATTATAGATTAAAACAAAACAAAAAATTAGGCTAGTAAGAATGAAATGAAATAAATGAGATTGTTTTAGGTATCACATACTACAGTTATACCATTTCTTCCCACGGTTTTGAAGGATAAACAGAAGCATAAATAATTTTTACTAAAAAATTACTTAAATGATTTTATGCCCTTTTCAAATCTGATTTTTCATTTGCCCTCCTATAACAGTTACTAGGTAACTCTTAGGGGATGTTTAATTTGGTTTATGTACAAAAAAATTTGTCAACAAGTTCTTGACTATTTTAAAAAATAAGACAGATTTTGTTGATCACTGTTCTCTCAAACACTGTTGGCTAGCCCACAGAACATTTCTTTCTATTCTTTCGATCATTTTCTTAAACTGCCATGAAGTACAAAGTAGGGGCTCCGAGATTGCTCGGATTACATTTGTGAGCTACCATGCCCAGCCAGTTTTAATTCTTCATTAAGGGCAAACATGATGGCATTTGATTGGGAAGGAACAAAGAGAAGAGTTCTCAGAATTTATATTTAGTCTTACCAGTGAAGAGCATGTCTTACACTTTCAGTAAATGTTCCCATCCTTTTTTCTATCATTTTTCATAATTTTAGAAAATCATTTAAACAAGAGTTTAATTGTATACAATTTATCAGACTGATTTCTTTCATATAGCTGGCAGTTTTGATTATTGTTGATAATATTGACTTGCCAGCTATACTGAGTCTGAAAATAGGATGGTCAATTAAATTGACTTATTAAAATATATTAAATGATTTTCCAGCCCTTTGTACAAAGGACTAAAGCTTTAGTCTTATTTCTGCCACTAACTGGAAGCTTGTAAAGCCATGAATTCTCTTAGCTTTATCTGTATGATAAAGGCCATTTTTAATGCTACAGTTTCATGATGGATATAGAACCAGATTGCTGAAAGATTTGTTCACTGCTTATTAAGTCATCTTTAAAGCATCTGTACCTGAACTACATTTTGCTTACAATAAAATTAAAATGAATTATTGAGTAATAAAGACATTTAAAGAAATGTTGGATAATACAATTCAAAGCACTAAAAACAATACCAATGCTAATATTATTTTGTACAAATGTAATGCAATATGATAGTAAAACCACTGTATCAATAATATGTCTTTATTTATATTGTAAAAGAATACTCACAAGTCATAAAAGTACAGAAAATGTGAAGAAGAAAAAAGTCCCTCATAATCTTAAAGACCTTACTTAATGTTATTATTTTGGAATGCTTACTCCCATCTTTTCTTGTTCGGACACTACTTTGTAATGAATATAAGTTTTCAACATGGCTGTTTGTGGAATCCTAATCTATGTTGAAGCATTATGAACTAACTCCTCTTGCACACATAAAAATAATTTAAATCACGCAAAATATTTGAGAAGGTTATTTCAGAGAGCAGGTCTTTGACAATTTTTCTCCTCCTCGATTGTAAGCCTGGTTATTTCACAAGGCTAAGATCAAGGTCCTTCAATATGGAAATATCAGCTGGTCTCTGGAACATTCAGAGAGAAATTAAACAGTTAAGTGGAAGGATTGAAGTTGCAATAGGCATTTTGAAATTTTCATGCAGAAGATTTTAGACTCTCTTCTATAGGTGGAACTTGGAAAACAAAAAATTAAAGCAACTACCTCAAGTAATGGCATGGCAATTACCATAATATCAAACACTTGAGTTAATCCATCTTCAAAAGGTAATCCAATTAGAAAGTGAAGAAAAAGTTTATTTAAGTACTTGAGCCACACTCTTCCTGAATCTTCTTACAATATCACCCAGGTGCTAAAGAGTTTTAAATCTTTACCTCCAGTGTGGTCTCTCTTCTCACTCCAGGATAGTGCATCCATTTGCCCCTGAACCAATCATTTGGGTGGCTCACAGTTACCCTCTGTTCAGCATATCCAAAACTGAACCTAGAAAACTTTGCTCAAGCCAGAAAACAAGGGAAATTTCTCTTCAAACTCTAAATTCAATCAATAACTAAATTGTGTCACTGTACTATTTAAACATCTCTTCACTGATTTTGCTTCTCTCATTTCCATAGTGGCTCCCTGCTTTCAAACCACTGTCATCTGTCACCCAAATATGCTATAGTAGTCTCCTGGCTGACCCCCTGGTTTTCTTCTTCCTCTCCAATCCACTTTGCAGTAAGGCAGAGGGAGGGAGTGAAACTAAATGAAACGGATTTAGACTCATCCTTGATAAACATCTTTAAGCATTTTCTGAGTCTAAATAACTGAAAGTGGATTGCAGTCGCTCTCATGAACTAGTTCCTGCTTTCCTCCTCAGCACCATCTCTCAAAACTTTTAGCCTTAAACTGAAAGCCCCAAACTAACTGCAATACTATGCTTCAATGCAACACACTTCTCTCTTTTTTCATCTCTGCACATGTGTTTGCCCTTGCTTGAATATTATGTTCCACTTTTTGCCTGGCTAATTTCTACTCATCTTTTAATATCATCCCTCAAATTTCCTCCTGAATATAGCCTTCAGTGGACCCCAAGTCTTGGCCAGATACTCCTTTCTATGTGCTTCCAAAACAACTGCTTCATCAGAGAACTTGCATTGGGATTTCTGGCTGCTTGTTTGGTGTAAGGGTCAGAATTGTGTCTTTCTAGCCACTGTGCCTCACACCTATATTTTCCAGATTTCTCCCAGTTCTACCATCTATGCACTTTGTCTCCATCCAGCTGGACTGTCCACGGTTTCATGAAACTTGCCCTACTGTCTTTCCTCTCTCTATTACTTTCCCTTGAAATCACTCACATTTACCTAAATCTTACTTGCTCTTCAAAGTCCAGTTCATTTGTCCCACATTCATGAACACTTCCCTGGTTTCAAAGTGCAGAGCTCCTCAGAGCCTCTGTTACAATTGTGTGGCACACACTGGCCTTGTATGTTAAATGCCTTTTTGCCTGTCTGCTTCTCTTCCTTATGGTACACAGATAGAAACCATATAGTATATTTCTGTTACCTTACATTCCACTAGTTAGCACCAGTACCTGAAAATAAGTATCCATTAGTCTCCAGACTTAGAAATTCACATGCCAGATGTACTAACCCTTGCCTTGGTATCTCTCTTCCTAACATAAGTCTTCTCTCTCTTTGCTCTGAAATCCATCTATTGTTTTCCAGATTTTCCTCCTGAAAGAGACATTTCAAACCTCAAATCTTCCAGGGAGTCTTCTTAAACTCATCTGTCAGATTCTGATTCTTCTCCCATCCTTCTTTTCCTGTATGTTTCCTTAGTATTTTATTTTATTTCTTTTTGATATTACTTTGTGATTGACAGTGTGTAATTTTGATTGTTTTGGGTAATTTCAAGGAGATTTACTTCATCTCTTAAAGTGTCTCGTAAACTCTAGAGTTGCTGTTTAATAGAACTCTGGGCTACGATAGAAATAATCTATATCTGTGCTATCCAGCAGAATACTGACTAGACACATGTAGTTATTGAGCACTAGAAAAGTGGCTAGCGGAACTGAGAAATAAAAAACGCAATTTTAAGAATTTGTATCAAGTTAAATATAAATAGCTACATGTGGCCAGTCATTACTGTATTGAACAATGCATTTCTCAATCCTGGAGACAGCATGTTTTAAATTACTTCTCTTCCTTAATGTGTCCAGTACCTAACAGAAAACAATGCCTTATAATCATAAGGTATTTTATAAGTAATATATGAAATATTATTGAATACACAGCCCCACTCAAGTTTTGAAATCGCTTTGATATAGGCTGGGCAAATATTTTTATACCTATTTTTGAAATGGTAACCAGAATGGTAGTAACTTATTTAAGATCATATGGAAACCACTGGCAGATTTTTATCTGCCCCTCTTTCCATCTTCTGTTATCCTAATTCTTACATTATTATCCTTTCCTTTTTAATGTCATTTTGACACTCAATACAGTCTATCAATAAACTGAATTCTTAAAGTAAGAAACTTATTTATATCACATAATTTTCATTCATTAATAATTTATTTATTTACTCAGCAAATAGTTATTGAGCCCTAATAATGAGCCAAGCATGCTAGATGCTAGCAATAAAATGGTAAATGTATGAATCTCTGATCTGAAGGGGCTAATTATGTGAATGTGATTGGCGGGTGGTAACAAATGTTAAATAAATAAATACTCATTGCATTAGTCCATTCTCACACTGCTATGAAGAAATACCTGAGACTGAGTAACTTATAGAGAAAAGAGGTTTAATTGACTCACAGTTCCCCATGGTTGGGGAGGCCTCAGGAAACTTATAATCATGGCAGAAGGCTCCTTTTCACAAGGCAGCAGGAGAGAGAATGAGTCAGCACAGGAAAAACTACCATTTATAAAACCATTAGATCGTATGAGAATTCATTCACTATCACGAGAACAGCATGGGGGAACACACCCCGATAATCTAATCGCTTCCCACCAGTTCTCTCCCTAAATTGTAATCTCCCTGGGGATTACAATTTAACATGAGATTTGGATAGGGACACTAAGCCTAACCATATCACACATATAGAAAAGTAAATGGTTACAAATGTGGAAAAATGGTGTGAAGATAATAAACTGGGGGTAAGGTAGAGAGTAACTGGGAAGACTCTTTGAGATAGGTTTCCAGAGGACAGTTCTCAGAGAAGGTCACATGTGAATTTAGATCTAAAGGACAAGACTTACAGGATGGAAAGACCTGGAAGAGAATTCTGGGCAGAGGGAATAGCAAGTTCTAAGGCTAGGAGGGATTTGATGAACTTAAGGAACAAAAGGGAGGCTCATGTGGCTGCAGCACGGTGAATAGGATAGGGAGCTGTATTAGCTTGGGCTGCCATAATGAAATACCATAGACCAGGTTGCTTAGAAATAAGAATTGTATTTTTTCACTCTTCTGGAGGCTGGGTGTCTGAGATCAGGGTACCAGCATGGTTAGGTTCTGTTGAGGTCTCTCTTCTGGGTTGTAGACTTCCAGCTTCTCACTGTGTCCTCACGTGGCCTTTTGTTGGTATGTGTCTGTGGAGAGAGAAAAGGAGAGATCTCCTTCTCTTCTGCTTTATATAAAGCCACCAATTTTATGGGATTAGGGTCCCACCCTTATGAACCTCATTTAGCCTTAATTACCTCCTAAAAGCCCTCTCTCCAAATATAGCCACCTCGAGGATGAAGATTTCAATATATGAATTTATAGCAGAGGTATATGAAAAGATAAGGTTAGAAAAAAGAGTGGGCTGTATCATGCAGCACCTGGTAAGGAATTTGGATTTTATTTAGAGAGAAAAGAAAAAAACATACAAAAATAGGAAAATCTCAAGTGTTAACCTAGCTTTCTTTCAGCTCGTAGAAAATGTATTCATTCAGGGTCCATTTATGAAGCTCCCATGTAAGACAGACACTATGCTCTACTCTAAGATTATAAGGATAAATCAATCATAGATTTTACCATAGAGGGGCTCACAACTGAGGAAGCATGGAATTGAAAAATAAACTCATGAGGGAAGACAATGTTTTTGATGGAGGGTGTTGAAGCAACTTTGACTCCTGCCTCACAGCATATACAAAAAGTGAATCAGAGATAATCATAGACCTAACTATAAAATCTAAAACTACAAAGCTTATAGAAGTAACCACAGGGGAATATCATCATGGCCTGGGGGTGGGCACAGAGTTTTTAGACAGGACAAACATGTATAATATAATGTATTACTTGTTATTTAAATATATAATACAATTCAATACATTAGATTAGTACAAAATTAATTGTGGGTTTTGCCATTGAAAGTAATGACAAAAACAGGAATTAATTTTGCATCAACCTAATACAATATAGTACAATGTGCATTACAATTATGATACAAAACAATACAATATGGTCCACAAAAGCAAGTAAATGAATTCTTCACAAAAAAGATATATGAATGGTCAATAAGCACATGAGAAGATGCTCAACATCATTAGTCATCAGGGAAATATGATTTAAAACTAGAAAGAGGTACCACCATATACCCACTAGAACTGTTAAAATAAAAATGACTGGCCTATATGAGGTATCTAAAATAGCTTTGAAAAGCATTTTAGTAGATCCTAATAAAGTTAAACATATACTTATTCTATAGTCCATCAATTTCACTCCTAGGTATTTACCCAACATTGAAAAGAAGAGTCCACTAAAAATTTGTGCACACATTCCCACAGTAGCTTTTTTCACAATGGCCAATAATGGGAAGCAATCAAATGTCCATCAACAGAAGCATAGACACCAAGTTGTATTATATTCACTTGATGGAAAAATACTCAGTAATAAAACTCCTGATATATTCAACATCATAGATGAATAACAAAAATATGCTGAACCGATGAAAATAGGCATAAAAGTACAGATGGTATCATTGTATTTATAAGACATTCAAGTATAATAAAAACTAATCTATAGGGATAAAAACTTTAAAAAAAGTTTTAGGGAGTGATAAGGGTTAGGAAGTATTGATTGGAAAAAGATCTTTCAACTGGTAAAGAAAATCTCTATCTTGATTTAGTGTAGGTTACACAGATGTTCTATTGTTAGAATTCTTACAACTCTTATATGTAAGCTCTGTACATTTTACTATTCATAAGATAAATAAATAAAAAATATATTTACTAGTAAAATGTGATGAGGAGCATAAAGGGGGAAATGCAAAAATAAGGAGTAATTATGCCTTATAGTCTGACTGAAATGTTAAAGGGATCAGAATTGAAGTCTGTAATTTAATCTGACTCACTTGGGAGCCCATGTTGGGCCCAGACACAGAGGACTGGACTCGAATGACAACAGTATTTCACTCTACCAAGAGCATGGACCTAGCTCAATGACTGGATACTTCTTACTTTTTCAGTCCAAAAAATTGCCCAATAACTGTCAGAAAATTCTGACCTTAAGACTGAAATCTGTGATGAGGCATGATTCCCCCCATTGGTAGAACACATTGCCTTCATTAGGCCTAAAGTTTAAAATCTGCTAGAAGGGTGGGGAATCTTCAATTCTGGAGCTCATTTCTGTTGTTTTTCTGTTGCAGCCTGGGAATGCTAAACTTTAGGCCACAGGGCAAGCCTCATCTGTTTAGCCTCATTATTAAGGGAAGGGCGGTTCGGCTTTATAGTCTCTCTGGGAAGGGTGGAGATGCAATTCTTTTATGCTTTACTTGTTGATTGTAAATACAGGCCAGTGGTTCAATACTAGTTATAAATTCAAAATCAAATGTAACAAATTACAATGAATAAGTCCAAGACAACAGATTGAGTAGTTAACAGTTTTTTGAGAGAGGTGCAGGAAAATAAAGAAAGATGAGGCCTACACAGACCTGGATAAATATTAGAATAAGCACTATCTTCTTGATATACATTTACATTTCTTTTTAAGGCCGCTTTATATCTCCCTGTGCTTTGGGCATGCTTCCTCTTTGTCTCCTGAAATACTCATACCTGCTGCATTTCTGCTGTTAAAAGCTCAATTTACTGAGCCCAAATATTAGCACATTACCACTATAATATTACTGAACTTATATAATAAGTTACGGTATATGTACCATTATTATTTCTTATTTACAGATGAAGAAGCAAAGGCACAGAGAAGGTAGGTTGCTTGTTCAAAATTACACAACAGACAAGATTTGAATTTGATAATCTAATCATGGGAGGCTTGACCATCAAACTAAGCTAATTGTCATCTCCCTGATCATGATGGGAGGCTTAACCATCAAGCTAAGCTAATTGTCATCTCCCCACTCATGCCCCTTTCTTTTCCTTAAGCACCAACTTTGTAACCCTTTGCATATGGTGGCTAGTGTAAGCCTTGCAATTACTTTGAGAGATAGGACTTCAAATCTCTATTTTATGGATTTAGAAACTTCCAAAGCACTAAGGTTGAAAGTGTTTGTTAACTTGCCCTAGATTTTGCGGCTAGAAAGTGGTAATGATGCCTACATTAGAACCCTTATCTACCACCACGGCTGTGAGTCTTTCAACCTAAAAGACAATCAGCATAGAATGTATTCCAGGGCTATTTGTGTTGAAATAAAATTTCAGGCATCTGAGGAAATTATTTGGGAAGATGGTTTACGCTGAAGACCCCTCAGGTGACACTACAAAGTGGACACTATTCCTCTTCTTGTGAGGCTGCTGCTGTGCACACGGAGTCTATGCAATGAAGAATTGGACCTACCACTCCTTCTACTTTCTCCTATGCACATTGCCCGGTAATCACTGCCTGCTTGACATATGGTGATGGTTATCTAAACTTAGCATTTTACATCTGATTGTCTGGCTAATTTATAACATCACATCACCACTAAATTCATTTGGAGATCCTCTAAATGTGGTTCTTCTTTAATCTGACCTAGACAGTTCAAACAAGGTGGCTCATTGACTACAGTACTATCAGTCTTCAGAAACTGCTGTATGAAAGGAGTTTTTAAATGTATCTTTGGAATCCATTCTGGTATATGATTTACCTAATTTGGTTTGACTGAAGCTAATTTTAAAATAGTTTGCATTTTTTGAGAAAATAAATGTACATGAGGAGAACCCAGAAGTGAGTTGGAAGTCAAGAAAGAGCCAGGTAGTGCAGATATCATTGAAATAGTGTGGAATTAACACATACTGTGTATATGTTTTTCAAAATCTTGAGATTTCATTACTCCTTTTCTAGTCAATATAACATTTTAACTTTCTGGAGGCCTCATTTTTCTTATTTTTAAAAATCAAGACAATGAGCCTGTTGATGTCTTAGTTCTTTTCCTGCAAAACATTTTATCCTTTCTATACTATAATATACTGTGCCTACATATTTTGAGGTTTTGAAATATATAGAACTGTGGTTTCATCATTTCATTCATTCATCTGATATTCATTTGACAAATCTTTATTGAGAACCTACTAAATGACAGGCACTGTGCTGGTTTGGGGAATGAAGAGGACAAAGTCCCTGCCCTCAGAGAGAGCTATATATAGAATTGAATAACACTGTAAAGATGGCTAATAAAAATCTCACAGGTGACAAACTTCCTGGAGATGACAGATCACAATTGCTCTTGCTTTTATTACAAAATATACAAAAGGTCTCTTTACTTCACAAGCCAACAAACACAAGTCTCCTCTAGCAGTGCTCTTACCTTTTGTGTGACTCCCTTGGAACTGGAAAGGTTTTTGTTTTTCTTTTTTTCTTCTTCTGCCTTTTTTTTTCTTTTCTTTTTTTTTTTTTTTGGTACATAAAAGAATAATATAGAAGACAACCCATAGCCAGTTTGTATTCCCTGCTGTCCTTCCAAAGCTTCATAGCCCAAAATAAAGGTGCTGCGGAGGTGGAGAACCCAATTTCCATTCTAAGTTTCACACAGTGGGTTTCAGTCAATTAAAATTTCTGTTCCTAAGATACAGTTGCTTATGGAGGCAAGTTGCACCCACATTTTTTGGAAACAATGATCTTGGTCTAGAGGAACCTTTCTGTCCCTAATACCTGTTGAGACCTCAGAGATTCTGTTTCGTTGCTGAGGGAATGTCATAAAGCCAGTTTTATCTCCTTTCCCAGGCATCAACTTCCCCTATTACCTGGATTTTGACTGTAAGCAACACAACAAACATCTTGGGTGGGGTGGGGGCAGGGGGGTAGACGACATGTTTCTTGTTCTTTTTATCCTTACTAATACATTGGAACTAAGCCATCTGGCTGCCTTTTGGGTAAATCCATTTTATAACAAGATTCTTTTTTTTTGGCGATTCAGTAATTAAACCCCTTTGGATAGAGTTCAAGATGGACCTGCATTATGCTGAATTTCGCTTTGGAGCAAATTGTTAGTCATAGGTGCCAGTGAATGTATAAAGGAGAATGAGGAATCTCTAACTAGTTTTTGAAAACTGGTCATCTCTCAGAGTTTTCTTTGACCTTGGGTACACTTTTCTTCAGAGGTGAATAAGGTGAAAATGTGCTCAGAATTGCCCTCTGGTTTAGCATTATTAAGATTGTTTTCTGCTATCTTTACCTAAAATCCAACCTCCTGAGGTTGAAATGTTAGCAGTAAGAGTCCTAACGTTGTTACTCATGACTAAAGTATAGGCAAACACCTCCATAGATTTATTCATTCATTCATTCATTCAGTAAACATGTGCTACATGCTAAGTTAAGGGTTTAGAAATCACCAAAGAAGCTTGTGAGCTCAGCATCATCGTAAGAGACTTAATATTCATTCTAATGAATCTTAAGATTCATTAGAGACTTAATATTTCTTATTGTCATTGTTATGTTGGGGCTTCAAACATTAAATGTGGATTGTTTTATTATTATCTTTGGGATATTTTTCTAAGAATAATTCACTTATTTTGAGCAACTTACCTTTCTATCTCTTTACTCAAAAAAGTATAAATCAATACAAAAATGTGATTAAAAATCAAGTAATCAGTCATGTTTTTCTTGCAATATTATGGGAAAAATTTTAGCTTCCAACCTAGTGGTGCTTCCAATTTATTTTGCCATGAATCATGGAAAGTTAATAGTCAGTTTGGGAATTTTCGTCTGGTCACGAATTCATATGAAAATCTCTCTTTAAAAACATCATCGATTTGGACTCTCAGTCTTAGAAAATATTTTTAAAAGAATTTATATTTTTAGAGCATTTTAAGTTCACAGCAAAATGAAGAGGAAAGTACAAAGATTTCTCATATATTCCCTGTCCCAGTGCAAGCATGGCCTTCCCCTTTGTCAACAACCCCACTAAAGTCGTACGTATGTTACAACTGATGAACCTACATTAACACATCATTGCCACACAAGGTCTATAAATTACACTAGGGTTCACTTTTGCTGTTGTACATTCTGTGGGTTTTGACAAATGTATTATGATAAGTATCCATCATTATAGTATCATGGAGTTTTTTGCCCTGCTCTGAAAATCTGCTATGCTCTGCCTATTTACTCCCACAACACCCTGGTAACAACTGATATTGCTAGTGTTTCCACAGTTTTGCCTTTTTCAGAATGTCATATAGTTGAAATTATAGAATATGTAGCCTTCAGATTGACTTTTTTTCATTAGTAATATGCATTTAAGTTTTCTTCATGGCTTTTCATGACTTGATAACTCATTTTATCTTATCACTCAACAATATCCTATTGTCTGAATATACCGAAGTTTATTTTTCCATTCACCTTCTGAAGGGAATCTTGGTTGCTTCTAAGTTTTGGCCATTATGAATAAAGCTGGTGTAGACATTCTTCTGCAGGTTTCTGTGTGGACATAAGTTTTCAACTTTCTGGGGGTAAATACAAAGGAGCACAGTAGCTGGATTATTTGGTGAGAATATGTTTAGTTTTGTAAGAAACAGCTAAACTATCTTCCAAAGTGGCTGAACTATTTTGCATTCCCACCAACAATGAATGAGAGTTCTTGTTGCTCCACATCCTCACCAGCATTTGGTGTTGTCATTCTGGATTTTGTCCATTCTGATAGGTATGTAGTGCTATCTCATTGTTAAGATTGCTATCTGCTATTTTTACCTGAAATCCAACCTCCTACAGATGAAATGTTGACAGTTCTCTTTTGCATTTCTCTGGTAACATATAATGTGGATCATCTTTACATATGGTCATTTGTCATCTTCTTTGATGAGGTATCTGTTAAGATCTTAGGCCCATTTTGAATCAATTTGTCTTACTATTGTTGAGTTTTAAAAGTTCTTTGTATATTTTGGACAACAGTTTTTTGTTAGATATGTCTTTTACAAATATGTTCTTCCAGTCTGTGGCTTATATTCTCATTCTTTTACATTGTCTTTCACAAAGTAGTTTTTTAAAAAAGATTTTTAAGGAAGTTCAACTTATCAATTATTTCTTTCATAGGTCTTGCCATGGTGTGTTATCTAAAAAGTCATTGTCATGCTCAAGGTGATCTGTATTTTCTCCTATGTTGTCTTCTAGGAGTTTCATAATTTTGCATTTTACATTTAGGTCTATGTCCATTTTGAGTTAATTTTTGTGAAGGATACAAGGTCTGTGTTTATATTCACTTTTTGTGGATGTCCAGTTGTTCCAGCACCGTTTGTTCAAAACACTATCTTTGCTTTATTATATTAACTTTGTTCCTTTGTCAAAGATCAGTTAATTGTATTTATGTAAGTCTATTTCTAGACTCTGTATTCCATTTCTTTGATCTATTTGTCTATTTTTTCACCAATATCACACTATTACAGTAATTCTTAAAGCCTGGTAGTGTCAGTCCTCCAACTTTGTTTTTCTCCTTCAATGTTGCATTAGCTATTCTGAATCTTTTGCCTCTCCATATAAAATTTGGAATCAATTTGTTGATATCCGTAAAAACTTGCTAGAATTTTGATTGGGATTGCATTGAAGCTATAGATCAAGTTGGGAGATTTTCTAGTTATTTTCCTGTCTTCATCCTTTCTCCCTTGTAACCACTTTTTAATTGGTCAGACGAACAATCTCTCAACATGGCTAAGTGTTTTCTTAGCCATGATCTAGTTACAATGTCATTTATATCAGCAGCGCTGAGGGCTTGTTTGACAAGGAAAGCAACCCCCTGTGTCAGTTAATTGGGTAATAATTCACTTTTATATCAAGTTAAATTGTTTGAATCTTTTAAATTGATAATGAGCTTGGAACTTCTCCTTAGGCACAAGAATAGCTTGCTTTGGGAGGAGTAGGCTATTTGCATTCTGGCGTTGTCCTTGCTTAGGCATAGATATGCTTTCTTTTTTGAGCTTGTATGAATGGTTACTGCAGGCTAGCCTCTTTTAGTGGAGACAAAATGCTCTCAAATTCCTGGGAATTCACCAGATGGTACCAGACGTCAGAATATAAGTGGTGACTTTCACCTCTTAAGTGGATCCTGTGTTGACTGACATAAACCACATCTCCATGATGAAATAGCTGATGTTTGTAATTAGAGAGGAAAATGCTGTATGGCTTATGTGCTGTATGGCTAAGATATTGACTCTGCAAAGACTAATGGGATAACTTAATGGATTTGGGGCATAAGACTCATTGTTTGAGTTACATTTGGGGTCACACTTGGGAAGATGTTTTTTCCTGTTCTCAATGAGATTTTTAAAAGCTGCTCATATGATTATAATTTATTTAAAAATGTTCTTTAAGCAATCTTTGTTGTGAGATTTTTAAGGCATCTTTGGATATACCTTTAAAATATTTTATCTCATTTCACACTGTCTTAAATTTGACTTTATAGTATATAAGGTTTTCTCCCAAATTATACCATTATGTAAGGCTTTGAGGTATGGATTATCAGCAGAATTCTTGGTGAATACAGTTTTGGAGATTCTTAGTCTCTTGGCAGCAAGAAAAAGCTTTCTGCAATTTATTAACAGAAACTGAGTAAAAAGATAAATAATTCTTTCATTTTCCTCCCATCCTAAACTTTTCAAAGGGGTAAATTGAGTTAGTTTTGTATAAATGTATTAGTCAGCTTCGGTTGGCATAACAAAATATTCTAGACTTGGTGGCTTAAACAACAAAAATTTATTTCTCATAGTTTGAGGCTGGACATCTGAGATTAGGTGACTTGCATGCTTGGGTTCTGGTGAGACCTCTCTTCCTGGCTTTTAGATGGCCACCTTCTCGTTGCATCCTCACATGGTGAGAGAGAGCGAGCTCTGGTCTAGCTTTCTCTTCTTATAAGGACACTAATTCCATCATGAGTCCCTACCCTTATGGCCTCATCTAAATCTAATTACCTCCCAAAGGTTCCCCCTCCAAATACTGTCACATTTGGGTTTAGGACTTTGACACATGAATTTTAGGGGACATATATGTTCAGTCCATAATAATAAATGAGAGTTTCTCTCATTTTAAATATGAATGTGTCATATTTCAGTGTTTTTTCTTGTTATTGGAAGAGAATAATCACGAGACATACATTTGTTCAATGTTATATCAGATCTTCTCTTTGATGCTTATTTAGACTTTTTCTTAGCAACAGGCCATTTTATCCTTTCCAATCGGGATGACATGGCTAAAGCAGGAAGCTTTTATTTTCTTCGCCTCAATCATAGATTCCTATCAAATTTCTTTTTTACTGTTTTTCTTTTAAACAAAACTTAAAATACTGTATTTTACAAATGGACTAAGAAAGAGAGAAACTAGTGCCTATCCTTTCAGTATGAAAGAACGGAAATAACATAATACCGAGAGTCTGCATAATAGTATCTAGTTTTAAAGTATTTCAGAAACACGAAAGTTAGGAGAGGAAAAAGGTCCCAATAAGCAGGCAGGTGGCTGTACAAGAAAAGAAGCTTTCTAATGGCTTTTCTGAACACTTGAATTACTGCGTAAACACACCCTGAATATGGCCG